AGTGAGATCGAGCACCTCCCAGCCCTTGCTCTCTGACGAAACACCAAGGTGAATGCCCCACCGTGCCTTCGGCGCCAACTTTCCGCCGCGCTGCTGCTCCGGGACCATGAACTGCACCATGCAGCCCCACACTCGTGCCAGCGTAAGGTCCGGCTTCTGTTCGAACAGCAGCTCATACGGCGTCGTTCTCGGGGGAAGGGAGGCCCGTTCGAGGCAGTTGCGCACCCAGACGGCGTGGCGAAGAGCGAGGTGCCACCAGTGATGCTTCACCCCCATGTGAAGCAGCATCGTCCGCACAGATTCGACGACCGTGCGCATCTCCCGCTCTGCCATGCCATTCTGCTGTGGGGTGTAGGGGCAGGTGAGGTTGTGGAGGATACCCTTGTCCTCGACAAGTTCGGTGAATTTCCTGCCAAGAAATTCGCCTCCGCGATCTGAGCGCAACCTTTTCACCGTCGTCGAGGTCTGCCGCTCCACTTCCTTCAGCCACTTCTCGAAAACGACCAGCACGTCGCTCTTCTTCGCGATCGGGCGAACCCACACAAAGCGGGTCTTCCGATCTTTGAGGAGGAGGAAGTAGAGGCTCCCATCTGCGGCGGCCACACGGAAGGGGCCACAGAGATCAATGTGCACGACATCGAGGGCGTTTGCAGCCTCTGATCCCATCTCTGGAAAAGTATGACGCGCCAGCTTGCCGCCGACACAGGAGGTACACGGCACGTCAGCTCCAGTGGACTTCTCGATGTCAAGGCCGATGGCAACTTCATGTTTCGCCGAGCTCAAAATCGTGTCAATGCCGACGTGCGCAAGCCTCGCGTGCCACTTAGCCGGCTTTGACTTCGTCGCCGATGCGATCGTCCGCAGAGCAACTGCTTCTGTCGCAGATGTAGTCGATTTCGAGGAGCAGGGGCGAAGGTCGGTGCAGAGAACTCGGCCGGTGTAGCGTGCTCGACCGAGCACATCTCCTGCAGCGGAAACGAGCAGCATCTCGTCACCCTCGTGCTTCAGCTTCACGCCGTTTTCCTCCAGCTGGCCAGAAGACAGTAGGTTCGCGTGCACGCCCGGAACGTACAACACGTCGGGGATGAGAACCTGCTTCCCAGTCTCCCCTTTCAGAGCAACTGTGCCACGGCCTTCGACGTTCTGAAGCGCCCCGTTGAATCCGCGTACGTGACGGATTTCTCCTCTTGGCTTCATTTCGACGAAGGCCTCCCGCGTTCCCATCAGATGATGGGAGCAGCCACTGTCGAGGAGAACTACAGTCGGATTCGCCTGGACGGCTGCTGCGACCGCCTGGAAGTCTTCGCCAGCCTCCGGTGCCAGCGAAATTGTTGGCTCGACCACGCCAACCATCGAACAAGAGGCTTTCTTTTCGCTCGAAGCATCACCCTCTGATTTCGACGCCGTTTTCGAGGACGCAGGCTTCTCCTTGCGCGGCTGGTTGTCTCGACGACGACTGTCGCTGTCAGACTTCCCGTCCTCTGAACGACTGGCGTTGTCAGACTTTCCGCGGCTCCCTCTCTGATTGTCGTCGGACTCGTCGCGATCAGGGCAGTCGTAGGAGAGGTGGTCAGGGTCTCCACAAATGTAGCAGCGGCGTCCTCCTCGACGCGAACCACTGCTTCCGCGATCATTGCCCTTCGCTGACTTTCCGCGGTCGGCGCTCTCCGTAGACTTGGTGTTCGACGACTTTCCGCCACCGCCTCCACCTCCGCCCGACTTCCCACGCTGCCCCGTCTGACGTCCCTGCTTCGTCGGAGCAACGTAGTTAGCCTGCGGAAGGAGCTCTGAAGACCGCTCAGACTCCTGCATAAACTCGTCCTGGATGATGTGGCTCGAAAGGGAGTCCTCATTCAGAGTCTCGCGCGTGCCGGGCATGATCAGCATCCGGCGCATCAGATTGTAGCTCGAGGGAAGGCCGTTGATGACGTGTGTGACATACGACGCCACCGAGTACTCGAAACCAGCCATCCGCATGTCGGCCAAAATTCGCCGCGCTCGATTGCAGTACTCGGTCGCCGATTCCTGCTCGCCCATGCGAATGGTGGCCAATGTCCTCTCCAGTTGGCTGATGTAGAGGTCGTCGGTCGCTCTGTAGGTGCGCATGATGTACTGCCACGCTTGGTAGCCGGCGTCCACTTGAAGTCGGCACTGCTTCAGCGCGACTTGCACCAGCGGCGAACAGCACCTCGAAATGACCATGAAGGTCAGAAGGTGAGCAGCGCGAAATTCCGCCAACATTTCAGAGTCGTCTTCGTCCGGCATCTCCACCTTGCCGTCAACGAACTTCTTCAATCCAGCGATCTCCAGTTGGGGTTCGATTGACTCAATCCATGTGATCAAGTCATGTCGTCCTTCGAGCGGCTTCGGCACAGCGATCTTGTCCGGCGAAAATTTGAAGTAGCCGTACGCTGGCGCGATGCCTCCGTCGCGACCAGCAGACGCATGAGTCGCCGATGTCGGCCTGGCTCCACTCCGCTGAGGAGAAAGGCGTCGACCATCGATGTTGCCGTTCGAACTTCCCGCTGCCGCCGAGCGCAGAACTCGTGCCTGCATTCCGCCGACGCCAAAGCCAGCGGCCCGAATCACTCCACGAAGCCTCGTGCTGCCTTCGCTGCCGACTTGGTTACCACCGTCGACCTGGTCGTCGACGCCGCCTTCGTTGCGTGCCGGTCGGGGAGTGGCGGGCAGTCCATCCGCCTCAGTACGGGTCGTTGGGTGCTCGCGCGCCCACTGCACGCGGGTTCCAAAGAGCATAACCTCCAAGGTTGCTCCGCCGTACTCGCCAGCTGCGTGGCGTGCCCGAACGTCATCTAACCGCGCCTGCAGGGTATCCTCTACGACTGCAGCGACCTCCTCCTGGTCGACCATGGCGGTTTAGACTGCCGGCCTACAACAACTTAGGTATTGAGCACTAAAGTCGGCTACTCTGAAGGTTCTAACGCGGGGCCGTTCCACGCTCACCGCACCATGCGGAGAGTCACCCTACAACGGGTGTGAACTACGAAGGAGGGCACGGAGTTGTGTGGGTGATCGTAGCGCTCTAGTAGCGTTCTAACAGAGTTCGTACTACTTGCTGTGTTCACAGAGGAATTTGGCAAGAGTTTCCACTAAGGAAATTGAAAGTACATTGAAAATTCAAAAAGAATTAGAGTACAAGAATGAGCATGCAAAAGTGATATCTCTGGAATGGCATTGCAACCCCTAGCAACCATTCTGCAAGGCGAATTGCCAGCACTGCATCAGAGCGGTTCGCCAACGCTGAAACAGAGCGGTCTGCCAGCGTAGCAGAAGGGCGACATGCCAGCGCTGCAGCAGGGCGGCCTGCCAGCGCTGCATTCGCAGGTGAATATCTGCGCAGGTGTGCACCTGCCGAGTAGGTGCAGGTAGACGGTTACACCGTCAGAGACATTGCGCAGGTGCCAGGTAGAAAACGCTCCGACGGTTTCGTCAGATGTCCGCCGTCGAGCACGTGATGCCATTTCGGAGGTCGAATTTCGCTAAGGACCACCTGAGCGAATTTCGCATGCCCTCGCAGAGTTTCGCAGTCGCGCGAATTTGGCCGACCAGTTCGCCGAGCTGACGCTCGCCGAACAGCGCCCTTCGATCAGAGAACGCGGCTCCTCGGACAGCACCCCGTCCGTCAGAGATCGCGCGACCCAGAAGCAGATCAGAAGACGAGCTCGTCGAACAGCACCCCGTCGACCAGAGCTCGTTGACGGGCTGGTGAATCAGAGGACAACCTTCCTCGAAAACCACCCGCGGTTTCAGAGAACGGGCTGATCCAATGCGACGATCACTTCGTCGAATTCACCACGTCGTCGCAGAGAATGCCTACGCCCAAGCGAGGGCGGGGCCTTTCACTCCGACATGTCTTGCTAGTGTCAAGCAGCGCTGCCATTTTCAGGGAAGTGGGGGACGTGCTGGAGGTCCTGGTCGTGGTTGTCACTTTCACGGCGGTAGGGGAGGTGGTCAACGTTTTCTCCAGTTTCACGGCGGTGGGGGAGGTGGTCAACGTTTTCTCCAATTTCAGGGAAGTGGGGGAGGTGCTGCTGACTCTGGTCGTCGTGGCCCCCAGAATGCGCCGCGAGGCGACCAATCCCTTGGATCCTGCTGTGCACAGAACAATGGAAGGAATGATAGGTTTGGATGAGCTGTTTTTTTAGAATTCTCAGCAGCTAGGCGACCTCCCATGGATCCTGCTGTGCACAGAGAACGATGATAGGTTCGGATAGTACGGTTTTTGAAAAAACTCATAATACGGATTGCGCCATGACCGAATTAGTAATGCGGAGCTTACCTGCCGCGACATGCGATGCTGACGTCACGAGAGAGCAGTTTGCTCGAACTAAGCAAGGTGTTGCCCACGAGAGAGCAGTTTCGTCACAAATACGGACTTTGCCAGGCGGAGGGAGACGCTCACACACTGCGCGTTTAGCGCGAGACTATTGCGTGGAAACCGTCGCCAGGTGGGACTCTTCCAAGCTTAGCAGCTGCTTAAATCCAAGCTACACACGCACGTTTCTGTGGAACAGCGGGCGAGGTTCACGCTACGCTGTGTTGAGAAGTGAGGTGGGCGGGCGGGCGGGCGGGTGGGCTCACTAAGAGGGGAAGGTCGAAGGCACTCTGGGGATTCAATTTGGCGGGATGATGTTTGTATTTTCGCGCCAGGTTGCTCGTTCCGCATGCTGCGCAGGTTGATGTGAGGCGAATTCCTGTATCGCAAATGTGATGCGATTCGTCAACTGCAGTAATAAGTTCGCAACGTTCGCGGCCGATAGTCACGGCGTGATGCGAAGCAAATCGCAGGTTCGAATGTGACACTGCTGTTACAAACATGGTCATTGATTGAGTTACAAAAGCATTGTTGTTATGAGAGTTTTTTTGCCTACACTATATAGGGTTCACCAAAACAAGAGTGGGCCCTTTTGGCCATCCAGCAACACAACAATGCCAAGGCCCAGCTTCCCCCTCTCCCTCTCTCCTTGCTCATTCCCACATCACTCTGCTTTGTTTTTCCCTTCACCACCACCATTATTCACGTCAGCCCTACCCTCGTCCTCTTCGCACGCCCCCACACCCACCCGTTTTCGCAACCCCTCACCCTCTCTTTCCGACACAACCCCCTTTGTTTCTCTGCTGTCCCTTAGTGCTTCCTCCTCCCCCTTCCCTCTCTCCCCAGCCTTCCTTTCCCTCCCTTCCTTCCCTTCCTTCCCTTCTCTCTCCTTCCGCCGTTTCGCCTCCAGAGCTGCCTTGTGTGGTTTCAGGTAGATTCGGTAGAAGGCTGCAGCGAGCACGGCACCGGCGGTGGGAGCAGCCCAGTAGACTACGAAGTGCTGCACCGACATCTCTTGGTCCAAAGTGTACACCCACCCAAACGCCTGGAGGAGGGGAGTGGGGAAGAAACATGCGTGCGAGCAGCTTAATTAGCAGCAAGAGCAGTACCGACATCTCTTGGTCCAATGCGTACGTCCACCTGAACGCCTGCAGAAGGGGAGCGGGGAGGATTAAAGAGACGATGCAGACTGGTAGCGCCTCAAGTGCTTGACCAGTAGCAGCCAGGATTGCTGAGACCATGATGAATGCCTTTGAGAGGTCGCTGCTGAGGCCCAGAAACAGCGTCCACAACACCACCAGGTACAGCAGAAACACGTGTTGGAGTGAGTGTGTGCAAGATCAAGAGTGTGAGAGTGAGTGTGCATGAGAGAGAGTGTGAGTGAGTCAGGAAAGAGCGAGGATTCTTACAAAGAGGGGGTTCATCGAGGGACCAGAGAAGCCCATGCCAGCAGCAATGGCGACTATTGTGGCTGTGACCATGATGAATGCCTTTGAGAGGTCGCTGCTGGGACCCAGAAACAGCGTCCACAGCACCACCAGGTTCAGCAGAAACGTGAGCGCAAATTCAGCCGTCGCGCCGGCCAATACCGACACGCCAGGTGGCAGCGCGGGCCCGTTGACTGTGTGCTTGAGGGATTCCGGAATGAACTCCCACGTCAGCATGGTTCCTATCACCATGCCACCCGCCTGGTGACGTGGATAGGTGAGCGGAGGGAGGTGAGAGGGCAAGGCAAGGGGATAGGGGAGGGCGTTGGATGGACCATGAAGATGTATGTGCTTGAGAAAGAAGCTTCACGTTAGCAATGTGTTCAATATTGCAGAATACGGGAGGTATGTGTCCTGTCCTGGCCTGGTAGACACAATCGGAGAGCTCATTTAGTTTTGAGACGTCTCAAAAATCAACGATTACCCACAGTGCGTGCCAGGCATCTGACTCCTGCCTGCACCTGAGCGGAGACTTTTGAAAGTCCTTTTGAGAAGGCTGCTTGTCATCGGTCTGCTGCAAGTACCTGAGCGGGGAAGCGCAGCAGCAGCCCCAGCGCCATCTCGTCGGCCTCGCCTGTGAGGTAGTTGATGAGATTCGCGAGCGGGTTGAATGACGCCCCCTCCAGCTGACTCATTTGACACCCCCATCGCTGGCAGCTATCTGTGTGCTGCCAGCACCTGATGGGGAAGCGCAGGAGCGCGCAAAAATCTTAGCACACCTGAGCAGGGAAACGCAGCAGCAAGCCGAGAGCCGTCTCGTCTGCCTCGTCAGCGAGGTAGTTGATGAGATTCGCCAGCGGGTTGAACGACGCCCCCCCCAGCGCCGCCGCCGCTCCCCCGAATCCCACGATCTGAACAATGGCGATTGCCTGGTGCACACGGCAGGGAGTGGCAGGAAATAAAGGCAGAAGGGAGGGGCACAAGGAGAGAGGCAGGAGGGGAGAGGCACAAAGGGAGGGGCAAAAGGGGAGAGGCACAAGGGGAGAGGGACAAGGGGAGAGGCACAAGGGAAAGGCACAAGGGGGAATGCACGAGGTGACAATTCGGACGATGCGATCGCGTGATGCAAACGAGAGGGAGCAGCAATAGCGAGAGCAACACGGGACAGGCGAAACGCATTGCGGGAGAGAGTTTGACCGGCCAAGAGCGTTACATAGTGAAAGCCTTTGACATTGCAAGAGCTTGACATAGTGAAAAGCGTCTGACGTTCTAGCAGAGCGTTCCTAATGCGCTTGATGAAATTATTCTATGCATGGCTACATTGTTACAGTTTCCTACCAGGAGGAGAGCGACGGAGGTTTCCTCGTCCGCGGCGACATAGGGAGCGAGGACTGCCACCGTGGCGCCCGTGCACGACACCCCTATCGCCCACACGATTCTGATCATAGGAGAATTTCGCACAAATGACTTGTATTAAAACTCGAAATACACTGTGGATGATGCCAAGGAAATCTGGATAGCAAACTATCATCTGCGCTGTTTCAACTAGACGAGGAGTTTCCACTAGACGAGACGAGTGCTTAACACGATGTCGCCGTATTGATCGCTTCAGAGCTGCTACCGGAAATTCAAGAACATCTACCATCACATATTCTATGTATCTTTAAAGATTTTTTTTTTTTTCCGTCTGTTATTTTCGTACGTGAAAAGGAAGTCAGTGACGGCAAGCCGAACCACCTTCCCAGACGACATCGAATTCGCCATCCCACACCGCGCTTTCGCCAACCTAGAGAACACTTATCAGGGCTTAGCTCGCGGCCTTCAACTCCGGGCGTAAGAAACTGAGAGCCAGCTCCATAAACCACAAGTTCAGAACCTCTTTCCAAGACGAATAGCAAGCTAAACGGAACTCATGAACTCTGGTGATTCATCAGAAATTAGTGCTGGTGAAGGGTGGCTCATCATCACAGGCGGGTCGTGCCAGAGTCTGGTTATGCACGGTGGTATCTGTTTCAGTAATCTACAATACGGTGACGAGAGAAAATACCGAGTTTGGGATTTCACCAAATCTGCCCACCAAATACTGGGTATTGGAAGGGAGTGTTTAGCTCAGAAGAAGCAAATTTCCACAGGGGGCGTGTGAGGGAGAGAATTTCCATCAGCAACTCAAGCTGGAGGAATTCGAATTCGCCAAGGGCGCACGCCTTTGGGTTGAAGAGTGGTGGTCAACATAAGCAAACTTAGCTAATGAACAGCTTAGGATTTGAGACTACACGTCGGATCTTACATGTTGGCAAGGCTTCTGAACAGGCTGAGTTTGATTGTGGGAAACCTGACTCAACCGCACAGAAATAGCAAAAACCGTTGACCAGGTGCCAAACCAACGAGCCTTGCCACTCTCCCTTCGACCAAACGGTGATGTGCGAGCGTGCGGGAGTTCAAGCGGACTACGCGAAATGTTACAGCTTGAACGACGTGACTGATTTGCTGTCGTGTTACCTCAGGGTCACGAAATCTTCTCGCCACCAAGCCACACTGCCACGAACGAATCACATAATTTTGCCTCAATCAAGCTCGTTCGGAAAACTGCCGTGCCTGTTCCCGCCAAAACGAACGTGCCAAGCTGTTGTCAGAGCTCAGGCACAACGGGATCATCATGAGGTCCGTATGACCGTTGCCACGGGCGAATGAGGGGATGTGCAAGCCCACCAATCAGCTTTGGATGAAGCTCCCTGGGGAAACGTGAGAGAATCCTAACCAGGGCAGGCCTTCCCCTCCCCTGTTGTTCCCTAGGCTCCCTCCTCACCTGCTGCAATTTCCGTCCTGCTGAAAGCGGCATTCAGATTTCAAGCTTCTGTGCCTGAATGGTAATGAAAGCTTGTCCAAAACCAGTTTCAGTTTCAGGAAATCAGTAGCAGACAGGAATAGCAGAGAGGCCGACAACCAGATAGCAATAGTAACACAAGATTGACGCGAAGGTTGTCGCTAACTCAGTGTTGTCAGTATTCAGGTATGTGTCTTTGAGCGGTCTGGAAATAGTGTACACCAGGAACAGGTACCAGTTTTTTTTTCTTCATTTAGAGCCCAGCCACCATGGCGGTGGAGCTGGATGCCGACGCGGTGCGGCAAGCCAAGGTCAAAATGATATTTCACAAGTTTGACAACAATAAAGACGGCGGACTAGACCGCTCGGAAATGGCTGGTCTCGTCATAGCCGTCAACCCTAAGGTCAAGTTTAAGGACGAGCAAATCGAGGCTATTTTAGACGAGGTATTTAAGACTTACGGGGAATATATTACCGAAGGCGTCGGCTTGTCTTTTGAGGGACTTCAGCAGACCTACGACGACGGAGCCGGTGACGTGGACAGGGATTTCGAGGCTCTTAACCTTGTCCTGGACATGCCTACTCCGGCTCCTCTCCCTGCAATTCCCGCTGTTCCCGAGCCTCCTGCTGAGGTTCCTGCCGAACCTGAACCTCCCGCTCCGGTGGAGGAAGACAAGGGAGGATATAACTACTTATCTACAAAGCACATGGTGGAAGCCCTCGAGGCGCTTATCCAGCAGCAACCACGCGCACAAGACAACCCTAACAACGTTCTCAGCAGCCCTGCGTTCACGAAAGCCGTCGCGGACCTTCGCTCGCAGTCGGAGAGCTTGTTACCCGTCGCAGCCGTCGTGGAGGCGAACATGGCGATGGGTCGCGCGCTGATGAAGGTCGGTCGCACGGAGGAGGCGAAGCCGTCGTTTATGCGTGTCGTGGAGATTGAGCCGCAAAACGTCCGTGCGTACTTCCTTCTGGGGAATGCGCATTACAGTATGGGACAGCTGGCGCAGGCGCGGGATGCGTACAGCCAGAGCCTCGAGGCGGGGAAAGCGGACCCCGAAGCGCATGCGACCATCCTTCCTCAGGTATGCTGTGATAGTGCTGGCTGTAACGAAACCAATGCTAGTCTGTTGGTGAGTGTACGTGCTGGCAGCATATAGACCCACGCTTACATCAGTTGTAGAATACTTTTGAATCTCCCAGGCATTTGCTCGTCCCCGATACAAAAGCACGGAATTCCTGAAATTGTTTATCAAGCTTGCCGCTTCCTTCATCCCCGATGCAGGTGCACGTCAATCTGGGTATAGCAATGGAGGCGGAGGGCCTGCTGATGAACGCGTGCGACCACTACCGCGAGGCGGGAATGCTGAACCCGCACCACCACCACGCCATGAAGCTGCTCGGCAGCGCGCTCTACGGGCTCGGCGAGTACCGCGAGGCGGAGGAGGCGCTGCAGAATGCACTGTACCTGGACCCCAAGTGAGTGCCGCGATTGACCTTTAGATGCAAACGAGCTTGACAATCACATTATATAGGCTTTCGAGCGCGACGTAACGTCATTGCACAATATCTAACAAAGTGGAACTTACGTTTCTAGTACAATAAAAGTCACTTTCTTTATCCTGATAATGACGCTGCGTCTCCTCATCCTCGCTCCCTTCCCCACCTAGCGCTTAACCGTCCTTTCCTCCGGCTCTTTCCTCCTCCCCAAACCTCCCCACCCCCTCTTACCAGATACGCCGATGCACACTGCGACCTGGGGTCGACGCTGCACGCGCTGGGGGACGACGTGCGCGCAGGGCAGGCGTTCGAGCGCGCGCTAAGTCTGGCTCCTGACCATGTCGACGCGCTCTACAACTACGCTGGGTTGCTGCGCGACACAGGCCAGTTCGACGCCGCCGTTGATACCTACTCCAAGGTGCTCGCGCTCAGTCCGGGGCACTGGCAGGCGCAGCTCAACCGCGCCGTGTCGCTGCTGGGCGGCGGAAAGGGCGAGGCGGCGCAGCGCGAGCTGGAGGCGGCGTATCGGCTGACGAACCGCGTGGAGCTGTACGACGCGGTGAAGCAGCTGAAGCGGCTGTACAAGGAGAACAAGAAGATGAGCTCCGCGTTGGCGAAGCTGCCGGACAGGGGAGGGGAGGGTGCGGGGGGCGCGGTGGAGGGGAGTTTTGTTGTGCTGGATCCGGCGAGAATGAAGGGCAGCGGCCCCACGGTGTGCAATCCCACGGAGCTGGCTGTGGCGCTTGACGTCCGCGCCTATCAGCGCCACACGCGCCTATCCAAGGTGCCGGTGGCAGCGCTTCGCGCCGAGCTCTCAGAGGCCAACTTCGAGGCGGCCCCGCGCGAGCGCATGGTGCGCAAGGCAGCCATCGAGCTGCTGCTGCGCCAGCTGCTCCCAGAAGCCCTCCCCCCAGAGACCTTCCAGCAGGCCGTGCGCGCCCTCAACGAAAAGGTCATCTCCGCCGTCGAAACCGGCGGCGGCGCGGCCGCGGCAGCCGTTGATCTGGGGCTGTTTCTGGCGATCGTGGCGCTGCTGTGCGACGGGGCGGTGCCGGAGAGGAAGCTGGTGGCGTTTGAGGCGCTGCAGTGGCGGCGCGGGCGGCCGGAGGGCACTGCGGGGAAGATCATGCGGCGCGACGCGGTGGGGTTTGTGCAGCTGGTGCGCGAGATCTACCTGCCGGGGCAGCCGCCCATGCCTGAGGACGACAAGGGCGGCGAGGAGGGCGTGCCTGACGTGGGGCTGGAGCAGTTTGAGACCCTCGTGGATGATGTGAGTTGAAATATATGTGGGAGGGTGCGAGTGCATTTGCTTGTATCGTCTGTGCATTTGCTTCCCTTTTTTTCTCTCTCTTGTTTATGCTTCCCACCTGAACTTTTCCCAATGCTTTCCGCTCCTCCTCTCTTCCCTCAACCCCCCGCCCACTTCAGTATTTCCCCATTCTCTACACGCTGCGCAAGCTGGAGGTGTACGATCGTACGCGGCACCTGGGCATGTCATGCGTCGTGTGCCGGTACGCCATAGTTGGGCTGCGCTACCGTGAGACCAAGTCGCGCTTCGACCTCTGCGCCACGTGCTACAGCGAGAGGAAAGCCCCTGCCAAGCATGCAGGCCCCTCTCTCCTGTCATCACGTAACCGCGTGTTCACGTTTGCCGAGTATGTGACCGGCACGGACAAGGTGAGGGAGAAGTTTGGGCTGTATGGAAGGACTCTGGCCAAGACGCCGACGACAAGAGGAGGGGCCACGGCAGGCGCAGGAGGAATGGCAGGTGGAGTGGGAGGAGGAGTCGAAGCGGGTGGTGATGCTGGGGTGAGTGGGGGTGATCAAGCTGAGGCGTCACCAGATGTGGCTTGAGTGACCGGTTGCTGATATTGCTGGAGCTGTGAGGGGGAGGAGCAATTGGAACAAGATGTGGTTGGAACGGGAGGAGGTGGGAAAAGGTTTCAGCCTTTCAGGTGGTGCTGTTGGTGCGAAGGAAGTTTCAGTACAAGTTTGAGTGGTTGAAAGGGAAAAGTTGGTTACGGTAACATGATAACATCTTCGGCACAGAATGGAGGTGCAACGGCTTGGGTTGTGGTAGATAGATACGTGGAAGGTGTGTATGTGCAATGGACAGTCAATGTAGCTGCAGGTTCAATCAAGGTATTTAGCTCATGACGTAGGACAGAGAGGCGACATGCTTAATACTAGGACATGCAATAGTCCAGCTTTTGTCACAATTTTCATAGGAATAATGAAGCCCTTCATGTTGCATCTTTCGTTCTTGGTCCAAATGCAATGCACCTTTTCCCGTGATAATTTGGTTTGTGAATTCTCTTGTGAAGCCCATGAAAATGGGACAAGCCAACAGAAGAATGGCTAAGCCCCTGAATAATAGTACAGAAATGTACGGTAGCTGTGATGCGAGTAGATTTGTCTGGAGAAAAATAACCCTATAAGGAGTTCGCAAACGCTGTATCTGTTTGCACACCCGGCCCCCCCACCGGGCTTCACACCACCCGGCGCGGTCGAGCAGCGATCGGATTCCGCCCTGGCTGATACGAAAGGGTGCCTTGCACCCCCTTCCGACCTCCAGTCCAGTGGCTGAATGATATGCGGTAGGGGTGATCGCACTTCCAGGTGATTCGCTAGTTCAATCATCACTCTTCACCGTAATGTATCTTACTGGAACAGATAATTCCGTGCATAGCCATACTCATGTCCACCTTTCCTGAACCACACCCTCACTCTTCTCTAACAAGCTTAGTCCGTCACACTGATTAGCTTACCATTCGTCTTGATTTAGGACCTAAACTCGTCTTCTATGGAGCTCGTTCTCAGTTAGGCCCCAAAATCTTAGACCGCGAGGTAAGCTTCAATGATTTTCCGCTAGGCCGCCGAAAGCGCGGTGTGGGATGGCGAATGCAATGTCGTCTGGGAAGGTGGTTCGTCTGGCTGTCAATGACTTCCTGTTCACGTACGGAAATAACAGACAATTAAACTGTGTTTTTGAAATACACGGAAAAGTATGATTTTAGATGCTAGCAGCTCTGAATTGACCAAGTAGGCGACATGTTATTACTCACTTCGTCTAGTTGAAACAGGGCAGGTAGTAATCTGTTAGCCGAATTTCCCTGGCATCATCCACTGTGCTTTTTTGTTTTGAATTTTTTTTTTTTTTTTTTCGTTCTAAACCAAGCCTTTTCCGCGGAATTCCCCTGATTATCAGAATCGTGTACGCGATAGGGGTGTTGTGCACGGGCGCGACGGTGACAGTCCTCGCTCCCTACGTCGCCGCGGACGATAAAACCTCCGTCGCTCTCCTCCTGGTAGGCAACTGTAACAAGGTAACAATGTAACAATGCAGGGAATGTATCGGACATGTCAATCTCGCGCATCAGGAACGCTCTTCCAAAATGTCAAAATTTTGGTGGATCAAACGCTTTCACTATGTAACGTTCTTGGAAGGTCAAGCACTTTCCCACAATGCGCTCATTTTTGTCCTGTGCTGCTGCTGCTGCTGCTGCTGCTGCTCTCTCCCTCCCTCCCTCCCTCCCTCCCTCCCTCCCTCCCTCCCTCCCTCCCTCCCTCCCTCCCTCCCTCCCTCCCTCCCTCCCTCCCTCCCTCCCTCCCTCTCTCTCTCTCTCTCTCTCTCTCTCCCTCTCTCTCTCTCTCTCTCTCTCTCTCTCTCTCTCTCTCTCTCTCTCTCTCTCTCTCTCTCTCTCTCTCTCTCTCTCTCTCCCTCTCTCCTTCCTCTCCCTCTCGTTTGCACCAGGCAATTGCCATTGTTCAGATCGTGAAGCTCTTTTGAGTGAACTCAGGGACTGACATTTGACTTTTGAGTCGACTCAGAAGCCACCTTGTGTGCCTTCCTCCGGCCTCTCCCTCTGTGTGCACCAGGCGATCACCATCGTTCAAGTCGCGGGGTTCGGAGGAGCGGCTGACGCGCTGGGAGGGGCGTCGTATAACCCGCTCACAAATCTCATCAACTACCTCGCTGATGAGGAGGACGAAACGGCGCTCGGCTTGTTGCTGCGCCTCCCAGCGCAGGTGCGCCGCCTGATTGCTGCTGCGCCTCCCCGCCAGGTGCTCCCCTTTCGTGCTGCTGCGTGCTGGCAGCAGACAGGTAGCTGCCAGTGGTGGGGTTGTTGTTTGAGTCGCCTGGGAGGGGCGTCGTATAACCCGCTCACGAATCTCATCAACTACCTCGCTGATGAGGACGACGAGACGGCGCTCGGCTTGTTGCTGCGCCTCCCAGCGCAGGTGCGCCGCCTGATTGCTGCTGCGTCTCCCCGCCAGGTGCTCCCCTTTCGTGCTGCTGCGTGCTGGCAGCAGACAGGTAGCTGCCAGTGGTGGGGTTGTTGTTTGAGTCGCCTGGGAGGGGCGTCGTATAACCCGCTCACGAATCTCATCAACTACCTCGCTGATGAGGACGACGAGACGGCGCTCGGCTTGTTGCTGCGCCTCCCAGCGCAGGTGCGCCGCCTGATTGCTGCTGCGCCTCCCCGCCAGGTGCTCCCCTTTCGTGCTGCTGCGTGCTGGCAGCAGACAGGTAGCTGCCAGTGGTGGGGTTGTTGTTTGAGTCGCCTGGGAGGGGCGTCGTATAACCCGCTCACGAATCTCATCAACTACCTCGCTGATGAGGACGACGAGACGGCGCTCGGCTTGTTGCTGCGCCTCCCAGCGCGGGTGCGCCGCCTGATTGCTGCTGCGCCTCCCCGCCAGGTGCTCCCCTTTCGTGCTGCTGCGTGCTGGCAGCAGACAGGTAGCTGCCAGTGGTGGGGTTGTTGTTTGAGTCGCCTGGGAGGGGCGTCGTATAACCCGCTCAAGAATCTCATCAACTACCTCGCTGATGAGGACGACGAGACGGCGCTCGGCTTGTTGCTGCGCCTCCCCGCTCAGGTGCTCCCCCTGCGTGCTTGCTGCTGCGCCTCCCCGCTCACCTTGCTGACATGGTACTTTCTTCTCGAGCCCAGCCATCCATCCCTCAAGATTCATTCGAACCCCTCTTTTGTCCCCTTGCCTCCCCCTCTCACTTCCCTCTCCTCCCACCCGTCCACGTCACCAGGCGGGTGGCATGGTCCTAGGCACCATGCTGACGTGGAAGTTCATTCCAGAGTCCCTCAAACACACCGTCAACGGGCCCGCGCTGCCACCTGGCGTCTCGGTATTGGCCGGCGCGACAGCGGAGTTTACGCTCACGTTTCGGCTGTTCGTCGTGGTGATGTGGACACTGTTCCTCGGTCCCAGCAGTGACCTCTCGAAGCAATTCATCATGGTCACAGCCACAATAGTCGCCATTGCTGCTGGCATGGGCTTCTCTGGCCCTTCCCTGAATCCTCTCTTTGTAAGCAGTCTCCCTCTCTCCTGACTCGGTCAAAAATGCACCAGCTGGTTCAAGAAGTGCCTGGGCAGCATTTCCTGGTTCACTCATCAGCTCCTGCCTTCATCGCATCCTTCCTTCTTCCTCACTTCCTCCAATCTCATCATCCCGTACTTCCTTCCTCGTTACGGAATATCTGTCACTCCTCACCCTCCTTCTCCCACTCCCCTGCTCCAGGCGTTTGGGTGGGTGTATACGTTGGACCAAGAGATGTCGGTGCAGCACTTCATAGTCTACTGGGCTGCTCCCACCTTCCTCTCATCCCTCCTTCCTCATTCCATGCTTCCTCCCACTCCCCTCCTCCAGGCGTTTGGGTGGGTGTACACTTTGGACCAAGAGATGTTGGTGCAGCACTTCGTAGTCTACTGGGCTGCTCCCACCGCCGGTGCCGTGCTCGCTGCAGCCTTCTACCGAATCTACCTGAAACCACACAAGGCAGCTCTGGAGGCGAAACGGCGGAAGGAGAGAGAAGGGAAGGAAGGGAAGGCTGAGGAGAAATGGAAAGGAGAGGAGGAAGCACTGAGGGCCAGCAGAGAAACAAAGGGGGTTGCAGCAGAGAGAGAGGGAGAGGGGTTGCGAAAACGGGTGGGTGCAGGGGTGCGGGACGAGGAGGAGAAGGGTAGGGAGAATGTGAATAGTGGTGGTGGTGGGGGGAGAAACAAAGCGGAGTGACTTGGAGGTAGATGATGAAAGGGATTGAACGAGGGAGGGAGCTAGAGTGTAAGATGGAGGGACTTAGGCTCAACATTTTTCTGTTGCTGGATGGCAAGAAGGGTCCTGTCAAGAGATGGCCCATTCCAAAGTGAACCTTCACTACCACGAGAAATTCAATGTGACATTTTACGCTAATAGAGGTAGAAACTTGCTTTGCAACCCATGCTATTGGCCATAAAGGCGACATGTTTTGAAATAGCAAACGCAGAAATAGACTCGTACATATGTCTTGTCCCTGAGTTGATTGTGATACAGCAGGCACTTATACAAGCTGGTTCATATTCTATGCTCCATAACAGCCTCACATGCACATTTACGGGTCGGTGGTGTCATAGGCTAGTAATAATAATGAAACGGTTAAACAGGAAAATATTTTCCTCCACACTACATGCCAAGGGGGCAAATCTTGTTGCGAGCACGTGCTGTGGAGTCAACTCCGTCAATGCCAACAAGGCGGATCCCTTTGTTCGGTGCGGTCCGGTCGGATTGTAGTGATGCTCGGAAATCGCTGATTATATCATAGGAACCTTACGAAACCGCATTGTACGCTCCACTGGACGAACATGTTTGGGTAGGTGGGCGTGGGGCTGCGTCCCGTTCACCTTCACTTCACCTTATCAATCCACCACATTTTTGGTCAATTCAAGGTCCTTGATGGTTTCTATGCTACTGCTAATTCCGCTCGTTCAACCCTCTTTCCACAGCAAAAGCAGAACTCTCGATGTAATTTACGGTCCAAAAGCTTGGCTAAATTGCTTTTTGGTGTTACAGGCAAGTGGAAGTTTCAAATCAAGACTCACCAAAACCGCAAACCGCTCCCACACAGTTAGAGTCCCCGCCGCCGCGGCGCGCCGCGTGTGTCAAGGATCCGACTCATCATCGCAGCCTCGCCAGACCCAGCGACTCGTCTTCATGGCGCTGCGACGCCGCCCTTCCGCGCGCTCGCCGGCGCCGCCACTCGCGCCGGACGCGCTGACGCTGCTGCCGCTGCTGCCGCTGCTGCTGCTGCTCATGCAAGCAAGGCTGATGCCTGGCTGTGAGGCGCAAGGCGATTATGACTATCCGCCCGTCGAACCCATTCCCATCCCTGGGTTCGGCACCTCCCAGAAAATCGCCATGGCTGAGAGTAAGCAGTACTTTCAAAGAAAGTTGCTTGCCGCCATTGGGATCTCGGCCAGTGGTCCCAGAAAATTTGACTTGAAGATCGAAGGTTTTGTGTTTCCGCTTAAAGCCCCCCCCCCCTTCCATTCGGGAATCATCCAATATTTGCCGAGTACGGGTTTTGAGTCGACTCAAAAACCTTTTCCAACCCCCCCCCCCCCCCCCCCCCCCCCCCCCCCCCCCCCCCCCCCCCCCCTTCCCATCATGGCGCATGATTCCCCCCCATTGTCGCGCAGAGGCGGCACTGCTGGCGTTTGCAGCGGCCTTCGGGAACCATCCGATATTCGCTGAGTACGGCGGCTGGGCCAACGTGTCCTTGGGAATGACGTACGAGACAAGCAGGCCGTGCGTGCAGTTCTGGCAACTCATCACTTGCGACGAGGAAGGCCGAGTTAATGCCATGTGAGTGTGCTTGCTCTATTCATCTCTGGTGTTGTTTTGTTAATTTGTTTCTCAAACATACATAAATGTAGGTTCTGCATGAAACATCAGAACATCGCCTTTAGGTTTTTGTCTATTACAACACGCCGCCCTGCACCCTTTGAGTGAGTGCAGCCACATGCTCGCAGCAACCAAGAAAATGCAACCCAGGTGATCCTTGAGTTGACTCAAAAGCCGCCCTGCACCCTTGAGTGAGTGAGTGAAACCACTGGCTCGCATCGCAACAACCAGAAAAATGCAACCCAGGTGACCCTCCATCAAGCTCTCCAGCCGAATCAGACCACCAGCCTTGACTCACAGCCTTTCCAGTCAGGGCCCAGCACTTGTACAACACTCTTCGTTGTGCACTTGTACAACACTCTTTGTTGTGAGTCGTGCAGTGACCAGCCTTGCACATAGTCTTACCCGACAGTCACCAGCTAGCGACTTTTGAGTCGACTCAAAAGGAGGTGAATTTTGAGTCGACTCAAGAGTCTCGCAGTGACCAGCCTTGCACATAGTCTTAAAACACAGTCACCAGCGAGCGCCTCTCATTCATGTGCGAACATCGCCTTTCTCCCTTTCATGCGCCCACATGCGCATGCTTGCAGCGACATAGACAATGCATATATGGTGGCCAGCCAAGGACCCACCCTTTGCCCACGGCCGCAAGCCTAGTCCCCTGCCAGGCACAATCCGCCTTCCACTTTTGTGTTCCAAACATTGCCCTGCACCCTTGCATGCGCCCACATGCTTGCAGCGACATAGACAATGCATATATGGTGGCCAAGGACCCATCCTTTGCCCGCGGCCGCAAGCCGGGGCCGCTGCGAGGCATAATCCCATGGCGCAAGATGCGAGCTCTCTCCAACCTCGTGCTGTTGAACGTGGCGGGGAATGACGTTCACGGACCCGTGCTTCCGCCCACCATCTTCCGATTCCCCAAGCTCAAATACATGTGAGTCTGCGTGTGAATTTCCACCGGTTCTTATGTTTCCTATGCTCCTATGTTCCCGTGTTTCCATGTCTCCGTTTGTATGATTCCTTCCGTCGGGCGCCTAAGAAAATAGTCATGTTTTTTCATCCTTCTCATGTCTGTTCTGATCTTCTCGTGCTCCCATTCTCTTGTAACCAAAGTACAACAAATACGTTTTCGCTTATGCTGTGTGCTTTGATGTGATGCGATGCGATGCGATGCGATGAAATGCGATGTGATGAGATGTGATGTGCTACGGCATTTGCTGCGCGTTCTGTGGTGCATGTGTTTCCATGGTGCATGTGGTGCATGTGTTACATGTGGTGCATGTGTTACGTGTGCTGCATGTGTTACATGTGGTGCATGTGTTATATGTGTTACATGTGCAGCAACTTCATGGACAACAAGATGGTCGGACCCATCCCCATCACGCTTTCCGGCTTAAAGTCCCTCCAGCATCTGTATGCGAATATCTTTTCTAGTCGACTCAAAAATAGGAGCCCCAGGTTGGAGCCATCTCTTTACGTGGCAGCAACTTTGTTTACAGAGCCTCCAGCATCTGTACACAAATGTTTTTTTAGTCGACTCAAAAATAGGCATCTTTGAACGCGAATCCGCTGCTCTCCTCAACCCTGCTTGCCTAGAACGCGATTCTGTATGCCTATCCGCTCCTCTCGTCGTCCCTCGTTTCCATCCATTTCCTTTGGTCAGCGTGCACATTGCTTTGAAATCCCCCCAACGCGCTCTTCATTTTTTTCGGCGTGGTCATTGCTTCGGTGCAGTATCCCATCATTAACCGCCGTGTCCCATCCCTTGAAACCGTATGTGAAGAAAATTCCTCCCTCCACCTCCTCCACTCCACCCACACGCTCAGTGACATGAGCATGAATCACATCACAGGGGCCATCCCACCCTCGGCAATCTTGCTTTTGTGGTGCCTAATAAACTTTTGATTCTCTCCCTCCGCACCTTACTCCCCCACCCTTCCCACAGTGACATGAGCATGAATCGCATCACGGGGCAAATACCACCCGGCATTGCCACCCTCAGCAACCTCACATCGCTTGCTGTCTCCTATAACCAGATGACCGGCGCGCTGCTGCCGGGGCTTGGCAACCTGCGACAGCTGAGAACACTGTGAGTGAGGCTCCTTGCTGCTGCTGTCACTGTTATTTCTCCAGTGTGAGGCCTTGGATTGGAGTGTGTTGGAGTGTAGCGACTGTGTTTCAAGCGCCTCACAACCAGATGACAGGCGCGCTGCTGCCAGGGCTTGGCAACCTGCGACAGCTGAGAACACTGTGAGTGAGGGTGAGACACCTTTCTTCTGGTGCGACTGCTTCGAATGCGACTGTTATGAGTGTGACTGCATTAAGTTTAACGGCAGTGTTTCAAGCGCGTCACAACCAGATGACTGGCGCGCTGCTGCCTGGATTAGCAACTTGAGACAGCTGAGGACACTGTGAGGCTCTTTGCTGCCGGTGTTGCTGCTTCTATTGCCACTGCTCTGAGTGCCACTGCTGTGAGTGAGTGTGTTCGCAAGGAGAGAAACTTCCTCCCCTCTCACTCCCATTTACCTCCCCTATCCATCCCCTTTACCACCCCTCTTATCTTGCTTGTCTCCGCCTTTCCCCTGCCTTCCCCCGTCCTTTCCCTGACTACCACCTTGCCTGCCCCTGCCATGACCCTGGAGTGCTGGGAGAGTGAAAGCAGAGACCTGGAGGGAATGGCCTGGGGTTTCAAAGGCCATGCCTGCAAGCTTTGGTAACATCGAGGCGCCATAAATGCTCTCTTTGCCGGCCCCCCCCCCTGCCATGACCCTGGGGTGCTGTGGAAGCAGGGATCTGGAGGGAAACAAGTTTCAGGGGCCCATGCCTGCAAGCTGGGCTGGGGTAACATTGAGGCGCCTCAAATGCTCTCTTTGCCCCGCCCCCCCCTCCCTCCCTCTAACATGTCATGCCCCTTTGGTGTTGTGGAAGCAGGGACCTGGGAGGGAACAAGTTTCAAGGGCCCATGCCTGCAACCTGGGGTAATCTTAAAAAGCTCAAGACGCTGTGAGTGTAAACTGCTGAATTACCTGGGCCTGATATGATAAGCCCAAGTGCTCCATGTGTCGCCTTGCTGATGTCACTGTCGCCTTGCTGATGTCACTGTCGCCTTGCTGATGTCATTGCCGCCTTGCTGATGTCACTGTCGCCTTGCTGATGTCACTGTCGCCTTGCTGATGTCACTGTCGCCTTGCTGGTGTCACTGCCCACTGTCACTCCCGCCACCACTCATATGGGCGGGAGCACAGGGCAAAAACAAACGCCTCCCCTGGTGGTGGTGGGAGTGAGCATGGTGTTTCTCAACCCAGTGAGGCTGTTGCTCCCGAGGTCATTCTCGCTGCTTCACCAACACCTCC